GAAAATAATTTAAAAATTTACTATTCATGGTGTTAAAAATACTTATCCTATTTAAATATACAAGATATTTTTAATTAAATCTTACTCTCTAATAAAATAATTATTTATTTTTTAATTAATCCTATTTTTTCATTGTTATTTCCATTGAATACTTTATAATAGATATAAAGTATTATCAATAAAGGTACTTTTGAAAAAAAGGCAATGGTTACACCTCAAAAGACTAAAAATGTCTTATATTTTTTAACATCAAACTCCTCAAAAAATATCTTATATTTTTTAACAAAGAGAATATATAACAACTTCTTAATTTATTTTCTTGCAACTCATTTTAAAAATTGTTGCACATATTTAAAATATGCAGAATTAATTATTTTTTAATACATGCCATGTACATGGAAACTAAATTTGTTACTCTACTAATTCCTCATAATATTATAAATTAAAGTTTGAATTTCTATTAAAAGATGAACTCATGTTTGATATCTGATAATATTTTAAATAAGATTAATTCTAATACAAGGATGCCTTCATAAAAAAATAAATTTGTTACTTGTTTAATCTTGTAAATACTGCAAATATAATAAATTTAATTTATTTTACATTTTTTATTTGAATATATTATTTAAAATTGACTATTATCTGTCAATTAAATTTTCAAATAATAAACTTCTTAATTTGGACCGTACATGTACTTTTTACAATTGGCGATTTTTTTTTACCAGCGACAATTTGTGAAATTTAAAATCTGTAATTTTATTGCATGACACGCACTTACTTTCTACGGTAACTCCCACCACCAATATTCATTTTCTTATTATGGCCGTCGCACAACAAATTTTAAAAGGTCCTTGATGGTGGATTTGTTTGTTACCAATTGCAAGTTTTCTATTAGTGTCATCTAGGCTCATATATGTATCCAAACTGATTTGAACAGTTCCGATCCGCCTAAATCACTCAATCTAAGAATCGCATAGTGATTATGAATGGGAACAGACAGAAAAGGTTAGGGAAAGTATCGCTTAAGAACTATATTGAGGGTATTTAATGCTAACTAAGGATAAAAAAAATCTAAAATATCATTACAGAACTGGAAATTGATTTGAAGATAATTTTAGACAAGAAAAAACTATAGTGCCACTACCTCTTTTTTTTTTTTTGAATTGACAAGTATCCACTTGTGAATTAATAAATATTTATTTACATTTAACATCAAGTTATTTGACAAGTTTAATAACATGAACGAATTTGACTGTAAGAAAGAATAATTATAGATCATGTTTCAACAAGTAACAATTTATTAATTAATAAGTACTCATTCGTATTTAATAAGAAGTTATTCGTTTATTGATAAATTTAATGATTTCAAAGAATTTGGTTGTGGGAGGGAGCAAGTATAGATTATATTTTAACAAGTAGGCATTCATTAATTAAATAGTATTCATTTATATTTAATAAGAAGTCATTCATTAATTGACAAATTTAAAAATTTGGAAAGACTTGGTCATGGGAAAGAACAAGCGTATATCATGTTTCAATAAGTAATCAATCACCAATTAATAAATACTCATTTACAATTAACAAGAAGCTAGTCATTTGTTGACAAGTTTTAAATTAAAAAAAAGTAAGGATATTATAGTATTTTTTAATCCAAGACCATTTTCAAATCAGGGCGTTGATCCTGTATTAATATTTAGATTCTTTTGATGAATGTTCGAGTATTAAATTACTTTCATGGTGCTTAAATGGTATTTCCCCAAAAAAAAAAAATCTTATAGGAGGGTAATAATGTCGCTGACCAATCACGTGATGCACGCAAACTGCAGTAAATCAGTGACAAAATGGACTCGCACGAAAGCAAGCAGTCTGCAGATATGGTCAAGGGCGGGAATGATTAGGTTAATTATATGTAATTAGAATAAAGAAGGGGCGTGCGACAGAGTGAGAGAGAATTGGCGAGGGACGTGCGTGTGGACCAAAGTAAAGTGTTTTTGACATTAACTGAGGAAATTGAAAAGTTTGAAAATATTCCAGGACGTGGCATCTAGTCAGAGTAACGATGATTATGAAAGATATATCTCCCAAGTAATAATGATAATAACATAAAAGGGTCAGTGCCGGAATCATCATACAACCTAATTTAGCTCACTCTCTTGCAACATTTTTCAGAAACTCAAGGATCCTACAAATTCCCATATTTTCTCTCTCTAAATCCCAAAAACAGGAAAAAAGATTCACCTTTATACATGTATACTTGGACACGTACATTTAATGATCATTTGTTAGTGGTGGAAGTATGGCAGGAGTATCAAGTGAGGGACGAGGATGGATGTCAATTGTCAAGCAATGAATGGAAACACAAATCCAACATTTAACGGGCAGAGAAACAGGTAAACCTCCATTGAAATTGATTTCACGCATCACAATTGAGATTTGAGATTGTACGTACTCGCTTGACGCTCACAATCTCCAATTCCAAACAGTGCGAACTTCAATCATTCGTCATTCCTGGGTTCCTGTTTCCTCTCCATTATTTATGTCTCCGACCAATCAGTAGATATTCCTCGGCAAATAATTTTCTCCCATTCATTTTTTATAATTTTTCTTTCCTGCGAAACAAACACTGTCAATCTCTCCCGCCATTATTGTTGTATTATTCCAGAGCTGTCCGTTTCTGATGATGCACTGCCCAATCAACAAATTTCTCTCTCCCCCCTCTCTCTCTCTCGCGTCGACGTCGGTACGGTTTCTCTATCATGGGACTTGCTTTGCCACCAGATTGATGTGATTGATGAAGTGATGTGAGAGACCGAATGCGAGGTCATGGTTTAGTCGTAGAATGGACCTGAGCATACCCGATTAGCACTGCTTTGTAACTTTTTCCATGCCATCACCCTCATGGTCCGTAACACTTAAATATTGTCTTTCATTTTGTCAACATCATTTTCCGTCGCTTTAGATGGCCTCGAAGTATACCTCATTTCTCATCCCTCATGTTCCCCTTCCTTACGATGATCGAACTGGGCATCTTAAGGATTCATTTGATATGATGAAAGTGAAAGGCATGAAAATGGAAATGAAATTAAAGTTAAAAAGAATATTTATTTGATATAATGGAATTGAATTTTTTTTAATTTCATTTCCACTAAAACATGTGAATTTGATTTTCATAATAAGATATAAGAATTTCAAATTCTATATTCTCTATCTCATTTTTACCCTCGTCATTTAGTCATAGTGTTGCTCATCAACCTCCTTAAAGTCCGACCCTCTCCCCCCTCCCCGTCGATGACCTTCTCCCCACTCTTCATGGGCGACCTTCTCCCCCCTCCTGCCAACGACCTTTTTTACACTCTTGGCTGACGACCTTTTGACCTTCTCTCTCCTCATTGTCGACGACCTTCTCCCTACTCCTTGCAGGTGACCTTTTCCCACCCTCTCGTCGGTGACCTTCTCCACACTCCTCTTTGGCAACCTTCTGACCTTCTCCCCCCCACTGTCGATTCCATTTTCCAAACCATTATCGTTGAGCAAAATCTAGATTTGCCTCCAAAGAAGTAGCGTCAAAGTAATGAACATCACAGTGGAAGGAGGCCAAAACAAGTGGCGGATGTTGTAGCAATCGATCAAGAGGGAGTTCTACTCAACAAGAGCTACGCTCAAATTTCAAGCAGTGGTGAGCACCGGTTAGCACCGTCATCATAGAGCAAAGCATGATAGAATAGTGGTTCTATTTTTTTTTGGTTAAAAATTTTGGATTGCAATTGTAATTTTGCATCAGATAATTAGTGGGTTTGATTTGAGGAAAATAAATTTCATTGCTTTCATTTGTAGACTAGAACTAGATGGTGGTTTTTTCTTTTTGGGCAAGATTGGATGTAGTTTAAGGAGGGTATTTTGGTCCTTTGAATGACAATTATATTATGATTTCATAGACACACCAAACATATTTTTAAACCTCACTTTTATATCCATTTTTATTTTTATTAAAATCAATTCTAACATACCAAACAGGGTATAAGATGTCAAGCTTCAGCTTAGCCATTAGGGCCAGCTTCACTGGTTTGAAGGGCTTCATTACCCAATCATTAAAACGCCCATTTTCGAACACAAAGCACTTAGAAATCCGTATTTATTATTTTTAGATACTCAATCTTGAATTTTGAAATTAATAGCCATAAATTTTTTAGAAGCAGACCAAAAATTTTTCCTAAAAAAAAAAGAGTAGCAGACCAATATTAGTAAAACTGTCTGTGTAAACAAAGAGTAAAACAGTAAAAATTACTCCCAAAATTAAAATATAATATTGATAATTAATTTACAGTTTTTAAAAATATTAGTTAAAATCTCAATTTCTTAAAAAATTTATATTTTTTCAATTATACTTTCTTTAAATATCTTATGTAAGAGCCTTGATTATAATAATTAAAGTTTTAATACATAATTTTTTTAAAACAATAAATCAGGAATATAATTAAAAAATTAACTAACATTTTATTTTTTAAATCAAGTAAATTTTTTAACAGATGATTTATATTATCAGACGGAGGGAGTATAACTTCTTCCAAAAATTTAAGGGATGGTTGACTAGATTTATTAGGGGTTAAGCACAAAAGCTGACGGTCATAAATCATTTGCTTAATACTGTATTTTTTTTTTGGGTATAAATAGGCTGTGGAGACAAAAATTCTGCGGAATCAGTAAAATTTAAGAAGGGAAGATTGAATTAATGATGTTCTCCGCGAGTACTAAATTAATTGTACTCGCTCCTTTTGATGAACAGCTGTCATACTAGGGCAAAAGCTTCCGTCTCCGTCACAATCTCGCAAGATAAAAATAGGACGGTCAAACGCCGCGAGTCCATTTATTTGGGTGGTAATTTCGTAGTTTTACAATGAAACGGTGGCAATTATGTAGCGGGCCGCTTTCCCGTTTTCGTATTTCTCGAATCTCTGGGACTCTTTCTGGCTCCAAGAGAGAGAAAAATAAGGACTTTTTGCAGAGGAGGCTCACTTGGAAAGCAGGGAAAAGGACATATGCATGCTTATCCTCTCAACGGTCAAGATTCTCTCAATCCCCCAAAAAAGATCGGTGCCTACCGTTCGATTCAAAAGTCTGACTTTTGTGGAAGAGGGTAACCATGGCCAGGTATTAGCCCAATCAATTGGGTTCCGCATTGTTCTCCGACTTAGTTCAGCTTTGGCATGGGTATGCGAGGGAAGAGAGAAGGGCTGAGTTGCTAACTCCTACCTCTCCTCTGGGATGGTTTAGCCTTTTGACTGTAGAATACCATTTGTGGAAATTATGGATTCTGATATCTATTAGCTTCGTCTTTCCTTTTCTTCAATGCTTATTTATCCAACGTAATCATCACCGTTTTATTTGCGGATGATTGGTCACTCCGGGATTTTTCTGTTGTTCTCTTCTTCGTAATTTCAGTTTCCCCTTGTTTTTTCATGAGATAATTTAAGTTCCTCCTCCTTGTTTTGGGTTTTCCCCACTTATATACCAGATCCATATAGCAGATCCAGGCTGCGAAATCTCAAATCTGCAGTTTTTTTTTTTTAATAGTTCCATTTTGCTTCGTTAAGTCATTAGTAGTTTTTCGATCTCCCACTCTGTTGCAGAGTTTAAGTTATTTCGCGAATGCGATTGGAGAGAGTTATCTTACTCTTTTTGTGGCCCAAGATCTGACTTCCCAGTTTTCATCGTTTTTCTCTGATGTTGTTGCGAATATCAGGGTTTGGATCTTGAGTCTGTTATTGTGATATAGGTCTTCCGAGATAAAGTCTTGGCACTTGCTTCTTTACAACATTTTATTTCCTTCAAGAATATGTATATTTTCTGTGAAAGTTGTGGAATCTGGATCGCGAAGTAGGGAAAATGATGAATTACTTTCCGGAGGAGGTATTAGAGCACGTGTTCGACTTCGTGACGTCCCATCGCGACCGGAATGCGGTGTCTCTGGTGTGCAAAACGTGGTACAGAATAGAAAGATGTAGCCGGCAAAAGGTCTTCATAGGGAACTGTTACTCGATCAGCCCGGAGAGGTTGATCCAGAGGTTTCCTAGACTAAAATCTCTGACTCTGAAGGGGAAGCCTCATTTTGCGGACTTCAATCTAGTTCCTGATGATTGGGGAGGCTTTGTCTTCCCTTGGATTGAAGCACTGGCGAAGAACCGGGTGGGATTGGAGGAGCTTAGGTTGAAGAGAATGGTGGTCTCGGATGAGAGCCTGGAGCTACTTTCCCGTTCCTTCTCGAATTTCAAGTCTTTAGTTCTTGTGAGCTGTGAAGGGTTCACCGCCGATGGCCTGGCAGCAATAGCTGCAAATTGCAAGTGAGCAGAATTTCTTGGGTCTCTTGTATGTTTGTAGGTGCCATTGTCTTTAGTTTGATAACAAGGGCTTTTGATTTGGCGAATGTTAGTACCGTTGGTTGTGGATTATGGTTCATGCTTGTCTATGTTTTGGAAAGCCTCGGCTTGAAGTAGCGGCTTTGCCGTTATCAATGTCTAGATATCGTGTCCAGTTTTAATCTGTTCTGCGGTTTTGCTACTTTTTAGTTTATTGTTGTTGGGTATTATTATGTCCTCAAGTTAGATGGAGGAGATCTAAAATTTGAACAAAGTAGGTAATTACAAACTTCTCTGTATGATGGCTTTACCCGTCAACTTGTTCTGGTTTGCTAACAAATTAGTGCTCGTAGCATCTCGACAACTTGATTCATATATTTATCATTTTTGTTTGCTATCCCCTTATAATTTTTCTTTGGGGGGGATTTTTCTAGTGGTATCGCTGAAGTAGGTGAAGGTGATCATGGGAAATCTCTTGTGCTGATGTTAAGCATATGGAATTGACTCTTCAATTTTCTGCCTCTTTTGAAATGTAGGTTTCTTACAGAGCTGGACCTGCAAGAATATGAAATTGAGGATCACAAAGGGCAATGGCTAAGCTGCTTTCCTGACACTTGTACATCACTGGTCTCTCTCAATTTTACTTGTCTCAAAGGAGAGATCAATTCGGGAGCTCTTGAAAGGCTTGTGGCCAGATCTCCTAACCTTAGGAGTTTGAGGTTAAATCCTTCTGTGCCCCTTGACACACTCCAAAGGATATTGATGCGAGCACCTCAGCTGGTTGACCTGGGTACTGGGTCTTTTGTTGATGATCCAGATTCTGGGACGTATGCGGAGCTTAAAAGTACCATTTTAAAGTGTAAATCAATAACCAGCTTGTCGGGGTTTTTGGAGGTTGCTCCTCGCTGCCTGCCTGCTATATATCCTATTTGCTCGAACTTGACATCCTTGAATCTGAGCTATGCAGCAGGGATTGAGGGTAAAGAGCTGAGAAAACTAATTCACCACTGTGGGAAACTTCAGCGATTATGGGTGAATCTAATTAGCTACAAAATCTTTTTTGCTTTTGTTACTAAGCACTACTTTGGTGAGTGCTAATGATTTATGTATGCAGATACTGGATTGGATTGGAGACGAAGGACTAGGCGTTGTAGCTGTTACTTGCAAAGATTTGCAAGAATTGAGGGTTTTCCCATGTGATGAATGGGATGGATCTGTAACGGAAAATGGACTTGTTGCTATATCAATGGGTTGCCCCAAGCTTCACTCACTGCTTTACTTCTGCCAACGGATGACTAATGCTGCCCTCATAACAGTGGCCAAGAACTGCCCAAATTTTATCCGCTTTAGGCTGTGCATCCTGGATCCCGCAAAACCTGACCCAGAAACATTGCAGCCACTAGATGAAGGTTTTGGGGCAATAGTACAGTCTTGCAGGCGTCTCAAGCGCTTTTCACTCTCCGGCTTGTTGACCGATAAAGTCTTCCTTTACATAGGGATGTATGCTGAGCAGCTGGAAATGCTGTCCATTGCATTTGCTGGAGAAAGTGACAAGGGGATGCTATACGTGCTGAATGGATGCAAGAAGCTCAGGAAGCTTGAGATAAGAGATTGCCCTTTCGGCAACACGGCACTTCTAAGGGACGTAGGTAAGTATGAAACAATGCGATCCCTTTGGATGTCGTCCTGCGAAGTCACCCTTGGGGCCTGCAAGGCACTGGCTCGGAAGATGCCAAGGCTTAATGTGGAGATCATAAATGAGGATGAACAGGAAGAGTGTAGCATGGATGGGCAGAGAGTAAAGAAGATGTACCTGTATCGAACTCTAGTAGGGAAGAGGAAAGATGCACCAGAATTTGTGTGGACTCTGTAGGTATTCTAGGCCATTTTAATTGTCCTTTTATTGAGCAGGCTGTACTTGCTTAGGTTGACCGGTTAATGGAAATTTAGCCAGGTGTTCTGTTTTATTCTGCAATCTCTACTCATTTATCCGTCCTTTGAGACATGCCGCTTTCGACCCTCATTGAAATCGTATTGTGGGGAAGTCATACGCGACGAGAAAGGAAATTGAAAAATTGAATAATGAGATTTTTAAAGTAGTTTAACTATCGTCTTAATATTACAGCAGAATTATTAGACATTCTAGAAGGTCTCAATTTTTGTTGGATTGCAAAACTCATTAAAATTAATTTACACGATGATTATATGGAAGTCCTTTCACTCAAACAATATAACTTTTTGATAATTATCTCCGAACATCAAAAAAATTAGGGAGTTGGCTATAAGAGATTGGACTGTCATTTTTTATTATGTCTTCAAAAAAGCAAACAACTCACATGCCAAATTACTCATGACAACTCTGATCTCATTATAATAAATTGCCTATAAGTTGTAGGATTATCTTGAATTTTGATATGACTTAATTTTTATAACTTTTGTACAGTTTTTATTGTGGCTTTGCATAAAAAAAAATCATATTATTTTGTGATGACAATTCAATAACTTAATCGATAGAACCATGCTTGTCATTTTTTATCATGTCTTCAATAAAGCAAACAACTTGCATGCCAAATTATTCATGACAACTCCAATCTCATTATAATAACTGCCTATAGGTTGCAAGATCACCTTGAATTCAGATATAACCTAACTTTTATAACTCTTGTACAGTTTTTACCGTGCCATTGTATTAAAAAAAAAAATCATATCATTCTGTGATGGCAATTCAATAATTTAATTGATAGAACCACGCCTGTCAGACTAATATCGGGGGATTAGTTGATAACTTTGTTTTATTGGCCAGATGATACTTGTTCAGTTCTTATCTTGTTAGACATCACAATATTATTCGTGATACATCATTAGTTGAGATGACTGATAATTTGAAGTGGCCATGTCACTGACTCGTTAAAGCTAATGATTAGTTTTGGATTTCCATGTTTGACTGGTTAATTTCCTACAGGACGGACGGTACAATTGAGAGAAACTCATCGTGTATGACGCGACCGTTTATTTGCCCTGATCTGGAATCACACTCCACCCCGTAAAATTGAAGCGAATCTTTGAGAAATTCTTTTGGTAAATGATTTATGAGCTGTTTAATAAAAATATAACACTTAAATAATATTAAATATAAATTAATTATGATATTAATAATAGTAAAGTGAGAAAAAGTAAAAAAAAATATGAATTATATTATAAGAATAAAATTAATTAAACATAAAATTTTATCTAACTTAAAACACTTTAATTGAATAGATTACAAATAACATGACATTGAGCCTACTTAAATTTCTCACGAATTTTTTTGGCGTCTTTGGAAGCCAAGTATCATAGCTCTTCATTTCCACAAGTGCAGATAAAGAGAGAACCAATGAAGAAATTTGCATCCATTTATAACATCAAACTTCGGCGGCTCACTTTTCCGTACAAGAAATCATGTCTGCAAATATACATCTTTCTCTATATATAAGAGGAAAAATATGTTTTTAATCAAAATCCATTAAAATAGCAATTTTTAATTTTGAACTGTGTCTATTCTGTAGAACGTAATTTGTAGAGAAGTTGGTTAGAAAATTTGAAGATCCGTAAGCCCGGAAGCTGATCGAAGCCTATTTGCTCAGGGTGGAAGCAACATGAAATAAATCGGATATTACATTACACTTGTCTTTTGAGGGATGAAAGTGTCTAGGTTTAAAGAGGTTCAGGTATCATTTCATCAGAAAAAGCACAGAAAAGTTAAGAGCTTTAAACCCCCTGGGGGGGGGGGGAGTGATTGAACTAAGTCTTCCGAGAAAGAACAGGTGAAATATATAATAGTATATTATAATCTGTCTGTGCGTGTGTGCTTCATATTAGCTAAATGGAGATCCTCTGAACATGTAAGTTGATATCGGACTGCATATCAAGCTTGCATGCGATGATATATACACATATATATAGGCCCCTTGGACAAACCAAATCATGGCCTATAGACATAACAGCACTGACCGAACAAGGACGATAAAAACGACAGATCCCGGATTCCCGGTATCCCACACTTCTCAGAGGAGTGCCGTAACACAACTGCAGAAACGGCTCATTATCATTTTATAAACGTGACTATCAAAAACAACACTCCTCTAGCACACAGCAGCAACAGAGTGCTGCCAAGCTGCAAAAGCAAGAAGAACCACATTAGTTGACAGCAAAAGAAATGAACAGGACAGGCATATAAAAGACTGATCCTTCAAAGTAACTCAAAAAGATACGAATCCCCCATCAATAATTTTGATACCTTAGGCCTAATTGGTATGGCGATATCAAATATTTAAACCTGTTATGATCAGATATGGGTCACAGGATATGCGTAAAGAGCAAGTCAAATGTCATGGTCAAATCTTTGATCGAGCTGTCCAAGTTCAAGCACAACAAGGAACATATTGAAAAAAGCACGTATGTTGCAAATCAGTGTCTATCATCTTGATCATCGCATTTTAATTTATGACAAAGTATGTCATTTGCTTCTCTAACCTGGCCATCGTAGCTTGTTTAGAATATCAGACTCAATGGGAAGAAGCATCGCCTTAATTATCACAGTAATTTGTCATGAATTACAATGCTTGATCATCGCATTGTAATTTATGAATTGGAACTCGAGTCCTGATACAAAAGCCTGAAAATTGTTTCTACCAGTGGAAGCATAATATGTACTTAAAAAGGAAAATACATTGATTTGTCACAGTAAATAAGATGAAAGTCTAAATTTCAGACTAGCACACAAACATCAGTATCCATTATTTAACTCCAAACAGGCAAAACAACTACAGACAATGTAACTAATTCCCATCTAAATTAATAATCAAGATTGAAACATTTTGGAAACGAGTGCAATATCTCTTTTTTCATTCCATCTTAGTGAATCAAAGGACGGAGATTTTCTAAAGGCAAGATACTCTTTCCCAATCTGCTATGTTGGCCCTGCAGGCTGCAGCCCCATTCTGATACTAATGATAACCAACCCACAAATGCCTATGAAATTCATTACTTACAGGAACCGGAATCCGAACCAAGAAACTCATATCAGTATACATCGTTAGGGAGATTTCTCCCTGGTCCAAGGCAACAGATGTAATTATAAGTCGCAGGGTGTGCGAATAGTGCTGTCAGATTCTTATGCTTAGCTAGCGAGAACAACTCATCGATAAAACAAAATTGTGAAATGATAAGAGTTTATGGTGCCTTGGTGTGACAAGACAAAATGAGCATGGCTGTATGGGGGCTTATATCCCATTGTGGTTGGAACTCTGTTTCAAAGGCAACCTTTGCCACAGTTCGAATTCTACCCTGCTCTATATTTTTTTTCAACAGAATCCGAACTGTAGTTAATTTGGACGAGATCGGAGGGACAAAAATGTAGTGACCGGAAAGGAAAAAATATAAGAGCTTTGAGAGTGTAAAAACAGTGAAAATTGCAGAGAAAACCCGAGTTTATTTAACCATTTATGAGGTGAAATAAATTCACAAAGAAGGGTTCTAATTGTGACGAACTATGGGGTGAGACAAGTTTCAAGATAAATAAATTACTTACAAATTGGAAATGAAATCAGGGTTCAAGATACTAATTCAACCAGATAATAAAGAAAGAAACCCATACTTGAAAATTCAAACACGAAAGCAGGGCAGAAAGTTCATAAGAAGGAAAGCGTACCAGCCTCGCAAGACGGAATGACAGTCGGTCTCATGGTGTTGATGATAGTGACTGGGATATGGTTGAGGAGGTTGTTGATACTGGTCATTGAAATAACCCTGGTACCCTTGATACTGGGGACGCTGAGGAGGCCGCGGCGGAGGGTATCCGGAATACACGGGCGTCGGATAACCTTCGTAAGGAGGCGGCCGCCAGGAGGGGTCCGGCGGAGGGGGAGGGGGAGGATAGGCAGATCCTTGCCCTGGGTGAAAAATGAAAATTCAACGATGAAGAGAAGAAAATTAGAATTGAGATCGGAAAAAGAAAGAAGGAAGAACGAAAGAATAGGATTAGAAAAGCAGCGGGAGAGGAAGGAGGAGGAAGAACCTGGAGGAGGGTAGTCTTGGCGGTGGGCAATGTGGTAACTAGTCATTGTTGGGCGTCACGAGATACGATGTCGACGATGAGAGTCTGAGACTGAAAGGAAATATAGAATGATCCGCCTTTTCAACGCTCCTCGCTTCGATATCCGCGCGCCACGTTACCCGCGCACGCTTTCCCTCTAAACCAGCTTTGCCTTGAGCCTGTGACAAATGAAGGCCTTTTGGAATTTACAAAACTGGTTGATCAAAATATTTCTTTTATTTAGTATGTAATATAAATCTGCATCAAATTATAGGATTCATGGACAGTCAATAATGAGAATTTCTTTAAAATTTTTATGATATATAAAAAGGTATATCGTGAGAATCAATAAAATAAATGTTTGATATATAATATTAGAATTTAGATCGATGGATAAATTGATAAAAGTGATTCCATGACAGGGAGAGAAAAAGAAGGTAATAAACAAAAAGACAATTGGTGGCGTGCTTGGCGTGGGAAGTTTCTGAACTCCTCCTCGTCATGAACGGAAATCTAATGGAGGTTTTTTGTTTTTTTTTTTTTTTTTGTTTTTGTTTTTTGGGGGAAGAGATAATGCTGTGCAGATTCATGTCGCTCTCCCTTGTTCACCAAGTGCTCGGCGTGTTTTGGCCTTTTGGGGCTCGGGCCTTGGGACCGCGAGAGCAGAAGTATTTAACACGTAATTTATCCTATCTCATTTATAAAACATGTTTTGAAAAATCTATTCCCCCCATTAAAAAAATATAAAATATTTTTAAAAAGTTGAATATTAAAAAAATATAAAATATTTTTAATTTTTTAACATATAATTATTATTTTTAAAAAATATTCTTATTAATGATAACTTTATATTTATTGTAAGATGTTTAATATGAGTAAATAAAAAAAATAAGATTAGTTTGAAAGTAAATAATTACTTTATTGAAGGATGAGATTTAATTAAAAATACTTTGTATTTTTAAATGGAAGAACTATTTAATTTTATTTATAAATTAAGGTGTAATTTTTTTTTGGAAGAATGAAAATTAAAATGCTAAATTAGGAATTTTGATACTGAAACATAATAGAAGGAGTAGTGAAATTTTGAAATGTTAGTGTTAAAAAATTTAATTTAATATTAATATTCTTACAAGGTCTTTGTTTGTCATTCTCCCTGATTTTTTAGTTAATATTTCAAAAGCATTTTTAAAATTATCCTTTTATATGAGAGAAAAAGTAATATTACATCACTTTTAAAATGTTTTATATAAGAGCATATTTAAAATTTTATACATTTTTATTTTTTTATATTAATATTGATGAGATTGATAGGAGTAACTTATAAAGGAAATTAGAAGAAGTATGGTGATTAGATTCAAAAGCTACACAGGAAGTACACAACATATACTAACGTACGAGTCCCTCCAAATTAAGAACATGGCTTGCTTCCTCCCAGTTTCTATTAAAGCTGGACTGTCTATATTAAATATTTTAATTTTGTTACATTTTTTTTATTAAATATGTAATATGGACAATCTAAATTTAATATGAGTAGTCCAGATTTGATATTAAATTTTTTATACTTGTAATAATTATTAAATCTGCACTATTTATAATATATCTTGATAGCCAATTTATAAAAATTAAAAAATTATCAAATCTAATCATCAGTACGAATGATTCAGATTTAATATAAATAGTTTAAATTTAATATTAATTTTTTGTAATTTTAACACTAAATTTAGATCATTCATATTAAATTTGGATTGTCTAAACTAATAATAAAAAATATAATAAATAAATATATTTAATTTCAACTGTTCAATATGAACGGTTTAAATTTAATAGGATGTGGGAGAAAGATGGGAGGAGCAAAGCCAAGTTATCAGATTAATGGATCTATTTGAATTCAGTCGAATTGATGCGTAAATTAACCTGTTATTCATATTGGCAATTGTTGGAATGACTTATTCTCCCATGCTAATAAATTACGACATGACTCACTAAACAGAAAATGAAGGCCGCTTTTAAAGTTCGAAAGAATAGAGATGTTTAAATCAACTCTTTTAGACTTCTTTAAGACATCGCAATATATCATATAAAATATAAAGGTAAATAAGTAATTTAGTTCTTAAATTATAGATTCAGAAGGGTTTGAGATTATAAACTCATCTTTTATATAATATTTTTTTAATTTTTAAAAATGATGTAATATAATCCTTGCCATTAACAAAAATTAAATTTGATTATTAGTTGATTTGAAAATGACAAAAGACACCAAAATTATAGAAAATGATAAAAAATATTTTTTGGTCATTTTCTGTAATTTTTAAGTATTTTTTTTAATTTTTAAAGTTTTTGCATGTCATTTTCTAACCAGGTCAAAATTAGGCTTTTTTAAAAGTAGGGGTTAGATCACACAATTTTTTAAAATTAAAGTAAAAAAATACATTAAAAATGAGTTTACAGCCCCATATATTTTTAATTTATAGTTTAAGAGTCAATTTATTTATTTACTAAAAATGAAAAAACAAATCCTAATATTGATTAAAAAAAAAACAGATCATAACAAGACACAGCGGATACGTGTTGATTTGTCCTTAAAGTATATATGTTTTGTTGCAAGAGACTCATATAAACTATGAACTTTTTGTTTCTAGGTATAAATTATTTTTAATTAAATTTTATTTTTTAATTAAATATTTAATTATTTGTAAATAAATATTATTTTTATATTTACCTTTACTTAATAAAATATTTCATTTTTAAATAAATATAAAATAATTTATTTATTATATATACTTTTAAAAAACATATAAATTACATTTCGAACAATAAAAGTATTTTATATTTTAAATATTTAATCATTTAAAAACACTTTATTTTTTTAATAATAAAAGGTAGGAGTAAACATTTTTTTTACAAAAAAAGGTTGAAGTGATGCACAATCATACAAAAGATGAACGAGTAAGAATGAAAAATACTCTCTCTGTTTTTATTTATAAAAAAAATTATCACTTTTAATTTATTTTTTTATATAAGTAAAATTACATCTTTCAATAAATATTTATTGTAAATTTTTTAAATTATTCTCATGATTTTATCATCTATTGTCATAAGAAATAATTAATGTAGGTTTGATTAATATAATTAATAAAGAATATTGTAGTTTATTTTTTTATTTTCAAATATAATGTATATAGTTAATAATTTTTTTAAATTATATAATATATATATATATTATTTTCAAACGGATAAAACGGAAGGAAGTAAGATACAACGGGGACGACATTGACCGAAATTTTGGGTTTGGATAGAGAATCGCATTGAAGGAAAATTTGTGAAAGGTTTTGAAATGGGAAACAAAGTGGGGAAGCAGGAAGAGAGAGAAAGCGAGCCGTGTTTTGGAGTCGCAAGTCGCAACAATAACGCGGTTAAGCAACCCACCTTCTAGCTGCCTGTCATTATATCTCCTTATAATAAAGCCATGACCTTCAAACTTCTACCCCACGTCACGAGTAATTAAAAGCCTTTCGCTTTCGCACCTTTCGTTTGGCTTCTCTCCTCCTCTTTCCCGTCTCTGCTCCAACGTAATGAAGTCCGACCAGTCACCTCCATACCCCTCCGCCCCAACCGCTGCTCCTACCCTCCACGAAGCAGCATCACACGCGCCTCCATCTGCACCGTCCTCCTCTTCTTCCGCTCCCTACTACCACCATCCTTACGTCCAACACGCGCCGGCTGAGAAGCCTCCCGCTAGTCCCATGGAATCCATCCTCCACACCCTCGATTCGTGGGGTAAAAAGGCTGAAGTAACCGCCAACAACGTCTGGCACAATCGTCTGTGTTTATTCCTTTCGACCTTTCGTGTTTTGATCGATTTTGTGTAGATCGGAAACTGAACGTTTGACTCTGATGTTAAATGTTTGCAGTTAGGACGAGTCCATCGGTATCTTCGGCGGCTTGGGGGAAGATGAATCTGACCGCGAAAGCCATCAGCGGAGGCGGATTTGAGTCTCTCTACAAACAAAATTTCACAACCTCTCCCAACGAGAAGCTCAAGAAGACCTTCGCTTGTCACATCTCCACGTCGGCAGGTCCGGTTTCGGGAACCCTCTACCTTTCGAATCTTCACGTCGCATTTTGCAGCGATAGCCCCGTGTCTTACAACGCACTCTCTGGCCAACAGGCTTGGAGCCCCTACAAGGTAAATTCAAATCCCTAATCCCAGTTCTTAAACCTATAATTTTATCCAAATGATTCTTAAATTTGGTGAAAAATAGAAAAACAACGAACGTGATATTTTGATTGGGGGTGAGCAGGTAATGGTGCCTCTGGGTAAGATTGGGTCAGTGAGCCCCGTGATCATGAAGGAGAACTCACCAGAGAAGTATATTCAGATTGTGACGGCGGACGGATATGATTTTTGGTTCATGGGTTTTGTGAATTTTGATAAAGCGGTCGAGCACCTCTCGGAAAGCATCTCTAATTTTGTAGTGCCAGGAATAGCAGTACCATCATCGGCTTCTTCTTGAGAAGTAATGACAACTCGAGCCAAGTGAAGTGGGTTTTAGGATAAAATCTCCCTGCTTTGGTGTTTCTATTTGTTTTTGTTTTTGTTTTTGTTTTTTTGTTATTGATAATTTTCTTCATACTCACGCCATATTTATATTTTTCTTCGAATGTAGTTGTGTATATTTACAAAAATTGAGGAGGTTACATTTTTTATCTATTTTATTTCTTAAAGATTTCCATCGTATCCAAATTGAAAGAAAATTATTTTGTTACTAAATACAAAAGATGTTAATAATATTTTTAAGTAATTAAATAATTTTACTCTTGTTTTGAAAAATATAATAGATCATTAATTATGTATTTTTTTTCACCCACTACTATCATGATATTAATTGTGAGATCAAAATTAAAAAATTATTATTATTTTAATTAAATAATAAACATTTGTTGATATACATAATTTGATTAAATATATTTTATATACAAGCACAGAGAGAGTAGATAGTAAGGATGAGTGGCAGTTATTGGGGCAATGACAAATAAAGCTTCTAAAATAGGAGAATAATAATTTGGTTTTACAAAATTTAACAACGACGGTGAAGTCTCAATAAGTTTTTTAAAATTAAATTTTTATGTAAAATTATTTTAATATTCTTATATGATTTAAAAAATTATAATTTTTAAATTGTTTCAATTGTTAATAAAATTAAACTTGTAATATTTATATTAAACTCGTAAATAATATAAAATTAGTTAAAATTTGTTGAAAAAAATTATAATTTTTTAAATCATTTTAGTTATTGATGAAATGAAGTTTGTAAACTATATAAAATTAATTAGATTTTGCTAATTGAAAAAAATTGCTAGTAGAAAGTAATGATTTTTTAAATTATTTTAATCATTGATGGAATCAAATTTACGAATGTTTATACTAAATTTGTAAATAATATAAATTTAGTTGTAGAGGGGTACGTGTAATTTCTTATAGAAATTTAATCTTAAAGAAGTCTTTTAGAAATTCAATGTTATTATCATATTTTATGAGATTAAATTATTTTTTTATTTTAGAGGATTTATCTGTCATTCTTTCATTTTTATTCTTGACTAAATATGATATATTTATTATTTATAAACATATTACTAATTAAATAAACATTTGATAAATATAAAAAGAAGTGATAAACTACTCGACTCATAATTTAATAGAGTTTATGTTAATACTGTGCTCCATTAATATAGTCCTTTTTTTTTTGGTTGGATAAGTGTAACTTTTATGCATAAGAGTAAGCGATTCATTTTAATGGATTCAAAAAAAAAAAATTAATACTTTTTTTATTAAAAAATATAAAGTATTTTTAACTAAATATCAACTCCAATAAAGTAATTACTTACTTTTAAACTAATCCCATCTTTTTATATTTATCTTTATTAAACACCCTACAATCAATATAAAATTATTATCAATAAGTACACTTTAAAAAAAGATAATAATTATATCTTAAAAGACTACAAATGCTTTATATTTTTTAATATTAAATTTCTTAAAAAATAAGCAAGGAAGTATGAGAAGAACTGAATTAAAAAAGAGAGGTCCGATTGCATCAATTCACTAAAGTCCGCAATAGGATTCAAGGTAGATAACTAATACTTCCTCCATATAAATTTATAAGATAATTTTAAAAGTAATTCTATGCTTTAAAATACATAAGATAATTTGACAAAAAAATTTGTTAAATATATTTTTTCAATATTACTCATCTTCCTTTATTATATTTTCTTCCTCTAATATTTATATTAAATTAAAGATATTTTTAAAAATTTACATTTTTGTTTTTTAAAAAATGAAATTGTAAAGTAGATTGAATGAGTTTGATTGATAAATACAGTTTTTATTAAAAATAACCCATAAATTAGGATAGAGAGAAGAGGAAGTTCAATCATTGATCGTGGAATTGCAGTGGGAAGCCCTCAATCTGCGGTGTTCACTTTGGATGCGGATATGCTTGTGGGAAGTGGCCAGGTTCCTGACGAAGGATCGAAATTGTTGTCTCCTGTGGAATGGTAAATCCACTGTTTGGGACAAATTCAAACAGTGAATCCCCAAGACAAACTTGGTGACCGTGGCTCTGTGCTACGTCACGAAAGATGGGATGTTCGCGCTTGGAGAATATATTTTACCGGATTGGGTGATTGTGAAACTCACAAGGGACTGTGAATGTGATGATATGTTTTGCTATAATCCTCTGGGTATGGCACTAGTGGGTGTACGAGAGGTCAACTAAAGAAGGAAGGCGTCGAAGTGAATGATTACCATAATGATGATGATGATGATGATGTTTTTGGCTTGATAATGTTTGTTGAGTTTGAATTTTTGACCCAACTATTTGGTTAAACTTGTTCACCTTCTTATTATAACGTATCTTCTAAAAAAGAAATTAATGATACTTAATATAAGGTACTTAATCAGGTATTAATTATGAGAGAGAATAAAATGTAAATTTAACTTTTTATAAATATTTTTTTATCTTAATATGAGTAAAATTGAAAGTTTTTCAAACAAAGTTAATGACTTAATTAACTCTTCTTGATTTTATTGAGGTGATCATTATCACTTACTTCCACTATTTTTAAATATATCATTTTATTTTAAATTATAAGAAAAATTACAAATTTCAAATACTATTTATCATATTTTTTCCCAAATTATTCTTAATAGAGTTAATGTTTATTTTCAAGCCTTACCCTATGTCCAGTCTAAGGTGGTTAAGGGCTAGAAGTTGGGGCAATTGACATTTACACCCACTCTTGAGTGATGTTCAAGTAGACTTAACTTTGAACCAACCACCAAAGTCACTCATAGTATTGGTAATATCTATATGGACCTAAATAACACTAACTCCTTTTGGAGCAAGTTCCTACCTAATATGTGATAATGTCATTATACTTAATGTATTGAAAAGGGATATCACAATATTTAAAGTCCTCATTTCAATAAAAAATTAACATTTTCTACGTTGACCTTCTATCCTTAATATGAAAAAGGCTATGCTTGCATTTGAGTTTTTAAAAATGATAATTCATGTTTCTTGAGACCCAAAAAACATTCATCAAATTCACAAATACTCATAATTAATATGATAAGCAATTAGTACAAAATAAAATCTCTTAGTTACCTCAAAATTTTAACAAATCAAATGTTACCCCTGTACAACTTGCTTCTTGAGCCAAAGTTAAGCTTAAATGGTGCACAATAAAATTAGTCTACAATTAACAATAAAAATTCAAGTGCAATCTTGTATCCGATAGGTTTATTAATTTTCATTAACTTAAATAACACCTAATATAACACTTAACAACCTAAATTATTCATCATAGTGCCTAAGGTTTGTCCAAAACCCTAAACCCAATCTCACAACCATAAAAACTTCTAATTTGGGTATAAAATGCTTAAACAACACTCGCCGATCCTATTTGAACCAATGGGTTTTGACCTAAAGTCCTAACTTTGAAAATCATGATTTTTCAACCTTAAATCTTACTTCCAAAACTTGTAGATGGAAGGAGAAAGAGTATGGAAGACTTGCCTAGACGAAATCAAGTTCAGATCACCTCCAAAACTCCAAATGATTAAGTTATAGCAACGCACAATACTCCCTCCATTGTTGTCTTTCTCTGTTATTCCTTTCCCCCCCTTATTTTAGTTCCATCACAAGCACGAACTCTTTATTTAAATTTTTGGGCCATCTTTCGTGATGGATGGCATAGAATGGGCTATCATGAATTTGTCCCTCAATTTGAGCATAGGTGGTCCAATTCATTTTTAAACTTAGTCTAAAGGCTATTGTCACATTTAATAGGCCTATTAATCATCTTTAACAATTATTCAAGTCATTAATACATAATTTTATCTAACTAACCTTGATCAATTCATTTAATGTAAGAATTAAAATTTGAGATGTTACAACTAGGGCATAGTCTCATGCACGCATGTAACTTAGGTGGGAAGGGGAATGAATCGAGAATGGGAAAGAAAGCAATTTTATTTTTTAGCGTACCCTCCCTCACACTTATTACACAAACATTTAATACTAAAATTATTTGCATCTATAATTAATTGATGCAAATGTATAGGCTAGATTGACCTTAATTACTAAGTGACTATACTCATCCTTCATGTAACATTTTACAGGCACTAATTCTAGTTGGGACAAGGGAAAGACATATGAGGTTTAGTAATCAACATTCTTATTGTAATGCCTCAATTATTTTTTATTAATGTGTAATTGTCATGGTATTGCCAACTAAGATGTTCATATTTTGTTATGCTTGCACCATTAAATATTAAGTATTGAAATGTGTATTTTGGGCCCTAGTGCATGTGATATATTTTTAATTGAGATATTTGTGCAAGATTAAAATACTTGTGCAAGTAAGGAGTGAGTATATTTGTAATTGATGGTGATTTAAATGTGAAATTATATGTTTTGACTCCTCTTATGTTTGTGTGATTAAGGTTTGAGCAGTGAAAATGTGATATAGGTGTTGTTTAAATGTTGTGTTATATTGTACAAGTTTGTTATAGTCCATTAAGTGTGATCTAAGGGTTGATGTGGGTTTTTGGCATTTGGATTGAGTTTTGGACACCTTAGTTATGTTTTGAAAGCATAAAAAAGTGAGTTTGTTTTTTAGTGTCTAACTTTTAATTAAGAAATGATTTGATGTGAAACTAGTATCATTAGCTAGAGTTTAAAGAAAGATTTTTCTAAACACTTAAATTACCTTAATCAAACATCGAATGGAGATTTAGTGCATGTTGAAAGTTTCGCTAAAAAATCTACCATGACAACTTATAGCCGAGTTCTGCAATTTATGCTGTAACATAAAATTTTATGCTGCAGCGTAATTGTGCCAAAATTAATTTTTGCTATCTGATCTTAATTTGATGTTATTTTATTTTATATGATGTCTATGTTTCTGTGTGAATGTTTTGCTTTGATTTTAATTTTTTTTAAAAAATTATTTTATGGCATTTTAAGTTTTAAAAGCTTGTAATCCCATTTATAAAAATTTTACAAATTTAATAATTCATTTAGCTTATTTCCTTAGTTATCTTTATTTTAGGGGTTAATTGTATAAAGGAGACCTTACACTTTCATTTTGATTGCATCATGTAACTATACTTTAACGGTCCAAATAAATTAACTAAGTTTTCAAATT